CTGGTGATCCTTGTCAGCCTACAGACCAGGCCGCCCCAGCCCCTCACAGGGGCCTGGCAGGAGAAATTCTCTTGAAAGCTTTGCAGCCCCGAGGAGCCCTCAGCGCCACTTCCCTGCTGGTGGGGGAATAGAAGCAGCCTTGCAAGGCTCGAACTCCCCACCTTGCAGACAGGGTTAAGCTAAGACTTTTGAGGGGCTGGAAGCGGCAGGAAGGAAGGTGACCCACCTAGAGGAGACTAAAGGGGAGGAGTCCCAGGGGATGGGGGTGGGGGGAGGCAGAGTTGCGCTGGGACTGCGGCCTGACCCTTGGCCTGGGTAATGGGGGCACGGGGAGCCCTACTGCCCAGGCATGCAGGGTACCAGATGGTGGTGGCAGTAGCAGTGGCTCCTTGCACATCTGGACACACAGACCTCCCTCCTTCTTTCCTGGACTCAAGGACAAGCCATCACCAAGACTCGGACAGAAAGGACTCTGTGCAGGAGCTCCAGGATGCTGGACAGCCGCCAGAGCCCACCCACATCCCCAAGGGCCGCCTTCTTTCCAATTCCTGTGGAAAAGAGCAAAGCAATCCCCAAATAAGGGCACACCCCTGTCAGCACCGGCCTCTGGGGAAGGTCCCTCTAGAGATGGAGAGCCTGCGATATGCCGCCAGTGTGGGCCAGGCAAGGCAGGCGGCCCCCGGGCCCCAGTGCAGAGCCACTGCCCAGGGCAGGCGCCTCCAACTGCCACCCAGCTAGGGGATCCCTTGTCAGCAGGAGCCATTTCACGCCTGGCACCCCAGTACCTCTTGTAAGGCATCTCACCTCCACCGTCTGTGGTATTTGGTTTGGCCTGGCCGGCAGGCCCCACTGCCGGGGCGCAGGGGCCGAGGGCCCTGGTGGGCCTCAGGCAGACCCGGTGTCAGCATTTCGGCCCCGCCAGGTGCAGCTGCAGGAAGCAGGTGGCCTGGCCCCTCTGGGTGCCTCTGAAAGCGACCCCCACCTCCTGGGCGGTTGTGAGGACAGAGGGGACATTCCCGTACAAGTTCAAACCTTGCCCAGTGGACGTGGCTCTCACTCACACTTGCCTGCTTCCAGGTAGGCTGCTCTGAGGGAACCCTGAGGACACATCCCTTGAGGATGTGAAGGTGCCACAAGGTATCACTGTCCCCACCAGGAATGCCCCCTTGAGGACCAGTCATGCAATGACGTTGGCATGTTGTGGTGCCCACTCAGTGACCCGCAATAATCCAGGCTCACAGAATTCCAATTTTGTTCAGGTGTGGGGCACCCTGTGTCAGGGAGGGTGACCTCCTCCACTCCCAGGACCAGTCACGGGAGACCCCTCTGTTCCCTTCTGCCAGTGGTGGATTGGGCAGGGGCGGGAGACACCATTTTGGCCAATGGGATACAACCTGAGGGGGCTGGGGGTGGGTTCTGGGAAAGGCTTTTGACCTGTCTTTGAATGCGGCTGTTCCTGAACATAAACGCGGTGATCCTTGTTTCGTCCGCCATCAAAAAAATATATGCATAAACCCCCTTCCCCTAAGATGCGTTTGAGGTCTCGATGCAGGAGCTGATTTCTAAACTTCATGGGACAGGAAATATTTCGTTGCTTTTCAAATAATAAATCACAGCAGGTGGACTAAATGGCGTCATCCTGAGGAGCAGCGCTCCCCGGGATGCTCCTCTTTCCCCACGGCAGGTGGAAGATGGCAGAGGATCAAATGCGAGTTGGAAGTGCAGGCTTTGGGGCCAACCACCTGGGTTCAAACTCTCACTTCGCCTTCTCCGAGCTGAGTTATCTCAGGCAAATTGTCTAACCTTCTGTGCTTCAGTTTCCTCTTGGCAAGATGGCCTCGTATTTCCTTCATTCAGTGGTGTCCCAAGCCCTTTGGATCAGCGTGCCAGCTCCCAGCCATCCCACTCACCACCCATTTGGAGGGAGATGGCTCTCGTCGGCAAGAGGTTTGGCTTATTCTTAAGCGGGTCCCCCAGGATGCCCGGCCCCCGCTGATTAGCCAGGGACAGGCCCCTGAACAAGGGCAGCTAACTACTGGTGGGTTAGCGACCCGTGAAAGGATCCGGTGTGAAAACCAGGGCCCGACGTGCAGGATGAGGAGGCCCAGCGGTAGGCCAATCTGATTCTCCAGCTTGGTAATTATAACTAGGAAAGACAGAAAGATTTCACTGGTTGTTAATGGGAAGGACACACAAGATGGTGGTGGGGAGAAAAGTGGCCATGAAGCCTGTGCTGCTTTGTTGCAGCAGCGATCGGAGACTAATATGATGGTGTAGCAGAGGCACATTGGGAGCTCATCACCAGAGAAAGGATTTGACCCCAGCCTTAAGGGGGGGCGGTGGGGCGGAACACAAAATAAGTGCTTCTTTGGGGCCTGAAAGGCCTGAATTTGAGAGAGGCCTCTCTTTAAGGAGTTAGGATCTGAAGTCAGCCTAGAAGTTGGAAATCTCGGGGCCGCCCGGCTGGCTCAGTCAGAAGAGGATGCGACTCTTGATCTTGGAGTTGTGAGTTTGAGCCCCATGTTGGGTGTAGAGGTTACTAAAAAATAAAAAAAATAAAAAAAAAAAAGGTTGGAAATCTCTTTTTGTCCAAGTTACCCTTGAGAAGATCTTGAACATGGACAAAATCTCTCTCAAAGAGCCCAACATGGTCAAGTTTTCCCCTGAGGATGGAATGAGCGTCAGCCGAAGGAGCTGGCTTGCAGTTAGGGGCCATATTGTATCCAAAACAAACAAGGAGGCAAGCGAAGACAGCTTAGAACAGGGAAGTTGCATTCTGTCCTGAGTCACCCCCACAAGGGGAGGCTCACAGGACCCCAGACCGCCAAAGGGAAAGACACCCATCGCTTGCCTCATGCTTGCTCTGGGCCACATGATCATTGATGGGAATGACAGGTGGCAATAGTCACACTTCTTTTTTAACCTTATTTCCCGCCCCCCATATGTGAGTTTGAAATGCCTCTCCAGGACAAAGCGGGGCCCATCTTCCTCTGCCACGAGCCTCCCCGCGTCTGGGATGGCCCGCCCTAGGACTGTTCCCGGCAACTGGTCCTCAAGGTCCGAGGAGGTCTGAGACTCTGCCTTGGTCCTGCCCTTGACGTGTCATCTCAGGCAAGGTTCCTTCTCTGGCCGGATGTGTCTTCTAGGACAAGGCTCTTCAAAGAGGTGGCCATGCCTTGTGAGATTGTGTGCAGTGGTATGGGACAGCTGTGTAGCTAACTTTTCCCAGGTTCCATTTTCGGTTTTGCTCCGTTTTTCTGATACAAGGGTAATGACACGTTTAAGGAGTGGTATAAATAGTAACCCAGATGGACAAGTGGGAGCGGCCACGGGGCTCTGTGGCCAACCCTTGCGAGATGTCCAGGCCAGATCTTTTTATGGTTTATTTTTTATAATCTAGAACAATCTCACTGAGGTTTCGGTAGGGCAGGTGGGTTGAGTTAGATTGCATTCATTTAAAGAGTCGGGGAGGTCAGATTCTGCTTGGAAATGTGTTGTGTCACTTTAGTTACGCGAACGGATGCGATGTTAGCAAAGAAAGAAGGGAAAATGACCAAGTCTTCGATCAGGTTTCAAGTTTCTCCCTAGGGTCTTTCCATCAGTAGTTCTGGGATTTTTACCATCACATTGGAAAATGCCGGAAAGGGCTGTACACGAGACCGGCCACGGCACTGAAACCCAGCTGGGTGCTGAGGCATCTAGCCCCCGGAGCTCAAGGAGGAATTCCAAATTGAAGCGAGAGTTCGTGGGAGCCGGATGTTTCCACCAATGAATCAAAAATGACTTATCCTGCAATAATTATGCAGGAGGCTGAGGTATCATGAGCAAATAAGTATGTGGCTCTGCCTTCAGGGAGCTGAGTGAAGGGGGACAGCTGGACAGCAGAAGCATCAGAAGCAGAGAAGGGGGCTGGCTGTACCCCAGGAGGGCTCAGGGGTGCCAAGGCCCCCCAGCCTGGGGTTCCCAGTCCTCCATGGCCACCGAGAACCACTGGCCACCGACTGTGGGACATCAGATGCCACTCTGCGTCAGGCACCATGGAGTCCCTTGCTCACACCCGACTCCACACACACGGGCTGTGTCAATGCACAGGACACGAATGTTGGGGGGATGTACTTCCTTCACAGAGGGGTCCAGGCCCACAGAATGGGAACCCTCCTGGTGGGCCCCAAATTCTGGGAAGGATCAGTTTGCAAGCACTGAGACGCCGGCTGTCCACCGAATGCCTCTGTGTGTGTGTGTGTGTACGTACACGTGTGGTGCGGGCAGACTGAGTGACTGAAGGTGGCTGTGGGTAATCAGCTGTCGGATCTGTTAACTTCTCCCATTGCCTGAGAGCCCACGGAGGAAAATGAGCCATGGCTGCTGTTCTGGCTCAGTGCGTGGTAAGGCCTTATCAGAGACTGCAATTCTCAGAAGACGGGAGGGTCCCTTCGGAGACAAAGACCAGTGACAGTGGATCTTCCCCGGGAGGAGGGAGAAGTAAAGATTCTCCGGCCGAGAGTGGGCAGCCCCCCTTTTCCTCTCCCGTGGGTGGGGCCGGCCACCTAAGACACCAGGGAACCAGGGCCTCCCACGATGCCTGAAGAGCCATGGGCACGCACAGCGCACCAGGGTCTGAATGCAGCGGGCATCCCGCGTCTGTTCAAGTTCACATGAACCCCGCCTCTTCAACCTTGGCGCCCTCCCTGCCTCTGGTTTCCAGGCCTGGTCCGGGCTCATCTGCACAGCTCTGCAGCACCCCGTGTCGGCCCTGAACGGTCACTCGCCCCAGTGACTGCAGTCCCAGCAAGAGGACTCAGAATGTGAAGAGGCGGAAAAGCCATCGGGACCCCAGTCCTTTCCAGAAACTTCCAGTAACGCCGCCGGCAGGAGCAGCTCAGTAGGGACCACGGCCCAACGAGGAATAAAAGACGAGAAGGTGCTAGTTGGAATGGCGGCTTAGGCATTCTGACAAAGGTCAGAAACAGTAAATGTCACTGGGAAAAATTCACAATCAGACCGAAACAAAATATATTTATTAGAAATATTACACAGTCATACAGCATACACTTCCATGTTAATAGTTAAATACATCCATGTTGGCATGTCACGTCCTGGGTGTGCTCTTTGTAGAAACGAGGCCACAGATGTATCAACTGCATCCAACTAATGTAGTTAAAATTAGGGAGCTACGGAGGATGTTCCAGTCTTAGCCAAAGTCTAACCTGGGTCAAGAAAAGTGAAACACCCAGGGAACGTGGGCAAAGGAGATATTAAAAATACTTTTTTAAAAAGGTAGTTAGGCTCTATGTCTCTTACTGCGCGTCCTCGGGGGCTCATCTCAAAATGGCACGCAAGCTTGGGAATGGGAGAAGCTGCAGCTAGATTTGGCAAGTGGGTGTGCAGAGAAGGGCCCGCGTCCCCTCCTTCCACAGGCCAGTGAGACACCCGCCCTCCGCCCCCGCATGGGGAAGTGGGAGAAGGAGCTTCAGAGAAATGGCCAGTGTCGTCTGGGGGAACAGAACCCTGCAGATATTCGTCACCTCTAGATGGCTAATTGCTTTGGGATGCTTCGGATGGTCTCAACAAAAGCTCCAAAACAATAGCTGAATGAAGAACGAAAACCAGAGACTAACCTCATTTCTGAAGTGAGAAGGCACAGGACAAGAGAAGTGGGTGTTTGCCGGGTTGCTCAGAACGAGAACCCCGGGGAGCAGGGCCATGGTGCTAACCCTCAGCCAACAGAGCCCCCGTCCATGGAAGACCTCACAATGATGAAAACCATGGACGTCTCTCTAGGTCTTTAAAAAACTCCACTCTTTTGGGTCTGGCATTTTGCATCTATCTTTTCTAGAAGAACAATGCATTAAAAAAGGGGGGGGGCAGTCTGCAGACCCACCGCACGACTTTAAATGACTACTGGCTGAAGGGAGGTGAGAACAAAAGTGGATATTGCAAGTCTCGGGACAGAAAACTAGAAATGGTACAATTGGCTGACACGACCCTGTTTCCTCAATTGATCAATTTTCCACGTTCACCTTGTGCTTGGAGCGCTCTGGCTAAAAATGGATCTGAAAACCCCATCCTGTGGCCCAGCCCCGGGGCCAGAGGAGCATCCCCCCCGCCGGGTCCCCTAAGTGCTGGAAGGCCAGGTCCTGCAGCCCAGCCACCTTCGGTCCCTCTCCCTGGACCCGGCAGGGCCAGACGGGCCCCTAACACCACTTGTGTTTCTATGAGCAGGACACATGCTTCCCCTTCTAGAAGCATGCCCACTGGCAAAGAAAATGGTACCCAAGGAGCTTCTTTGAGTTATAAAAATAAATCACACATGACCTTTCTTTTATAGGACATTTCTTTCCTTCTTTTTCCCCTAAAGGGAGCAGGCTCAGTGTAGGGCGAGGGGAAAGAACACCACCGCCGCCACCACTGCGTAGACACTGCTTGGCCCAGAGCTGGATCACCTGACTCATTTACAGTAATCACTAAAAACGGCGTCAATAATGCTGAACACCCCCTCCAGGTATCCCAAGCACCTCAACTGCCTCTCCCACACAAACCCTGCAGTAAATTCCAGATTAAACACATCGACCGACAGCTCAACCCAACTCCTCGGGATATTACCTTCCCCCACTGCAATGGAGAGCAAGGCAGAAGCTCCGGGGTAATGAAAACTCATCAGTTATGTCAACAAAGGACAGATGCGTGAAGCAACACAACGGGAGTACTTTCCATTTGGATATGTGCATCAGGAAGGAGTAAATTAAATTTGTTCAGACTGCCTCTAACTCCCATGTGAAAACAAAGGAGCCATGGGGGGGGGCGCTTTACCAAACTGCCCAGCCCCAACCTGCGCTCACGGCCCCAACCTGGGGAGCGAGATCAAAGGCGGTCTCTCCTCTCAGGGGTTGTCAGGGGAACTCTGAAAATATACAGACTAGATCCCCGCTCCCATTGTTCCAGATGCTCTGATTCAACGGATGGAGCAGGCCAGGGGTGTGTGCTTTGAACCAGCTCCCTGGAAGGTTCTGACCTGGGGCCACAAAGGAGAACCCTCAGCAGGCGATGGGTGGCGCCTTGAGAAGGAGGGATGATCCCTCCGCAGAGCCCAGCAGCTGCCTCTCCCGAGGTGGTCTGGAGGGAGGGGCTAACACATGCCTCTTCTGGGACAGGGCCCGGGGCCACCGAGCAGCCATCCCGTAACTGCCAGTGACCGAGGACAGCGCAGCCCTTTGCTGCTGACGAGTCACCTGACGGCCCAGGGGAGCCACACCTTCATGGGCTATGCAACGTGCACCCATGTGCCCACCACGAACACCTGCCAGGGGTGCCCACTTGCACTTCTGAGCCCCCTCTCCCCGCCCCGGGGCGGTTCTGGCGGGAGCTCTGCTGTCGGCCCTTACAGGAGAGCAGACGTAGAGCCATCTCTGCCCACCCCCTCAGGGCTTGCTTCGGCCCTGCAAATGCAAAGGGCCTGATGGGGCACTAAAACCCAAGTCCAGAGTTGAAATAGTGTTTACACTTGCTGTCTGCCCAGGATCCCCAGACATACACACCTCTTCGGCCTGAGCGTGCAAACACACGAAGACCTGGGTGGGCAAGTGAGGAACGTTCTGCACCGGGCCGAATGTGTGTGGGCTTTCACGAAGGGGAATGGGAATGAAGCGGGGGGGACGACGACACACAAAGGGAGGGGGCGACAGTGGCTGATGTCTCCCTTTCAGCACGGACACACAGATGCACACTCCGTCTGCGGACCACCCTGCGGGGGGACACTGCAGCCAGCCACCCAGGGGCTGCTTTGTATTCTCACACCTCTTCTCCACCCAGAGATTCCAATCAGCGACAGCGAGATCTAAAAAGCGTGATCAAGTTCTAGGTGTCACAACTGTTATCTAGCACGCAAGCACGTTTCCCCAAAAAGCAGGGCTTGTAGGTTTCCAGGCGGCGCGAGACCAAAATGTTTGTCTTTTTGCGTTTTGCTGTGTGTTTCTTTTTTGGAGGGGGTGGGTGGTGGCAAGGGCAGAGTTTTTCTAAAGGCAGGAACCCCGGTTTTTAGTGAAAAGACGACTGCTTTGGAAGTGCTGTTGGTGGTGGATCTCGGCAGCTCACGGGTGAAATTGCACCGCGTGACCCGAGATGTCCTACTGGGTTCTCGTGGAGGGAGCCTGGGCTGAAGGACGGAGGCCAGTGCGGGGAGCAAAGCTTCCCCAGCTGACGCTCAAAATGCATCTGGATTTAAAGCGGATCTGGGGCAGAACCCCGTTCCGTTTCTTGTTTGCGTGTTGGTCCCCCTGGATGGAGTGCTGTGGGCGGTGGTGGATGGAGCAGGGCCTGTGGAAAGTGACCAGGTGCTTCGAGGACCAGCTGCAGGCCAGGGCGGGCGGTGTCTCTTGGGCCCTTGGGCTTTACGTCTCAAAGTACTTGTAGATCTGGGCCACGTACTGCATCACGCTCTGCCAGTCGGGCCGGTCTGTGTACAGCATCTCACTGAGCTCCTGCAGGAGAAAAGAACAGGTCACGCTGGGGACACCACAGACCGCCCCCACCTTCCCACAGAAGGCCTTGGCTCCAGGTTGGGGCTGGTGTTGCCTAGAAACCCTCTTCCACCTGCTTGGACAGAAAGTGTAGGCAACACTGAAGTGGTGTTAAATGTGATTTAAGTTAATAGAAAAGTGTTTTATTCCTATTTAATCAGGATATGCCATCCCTTAAAATTTTTCTTAAAGATTTTGTTTATTTGAGAGAGGATAGTGAGAGAGAGCATGAGGGGGGGAGGGGCAGAGGGAGAGGGAGAAGCAGACTCCCCGCTGAACAGGGAGCCCAACGTGTGGCTGGGTCCCAGGACCCCGGGATCACAACCCAAGCTGAAGGGAGATGCTTAACCGATTGAGCCACCAGGGCATCCCGAGATACTGTCCCCTTTAAGAAACATTAAACGTGACTTCCTGCCCCTTTTACCTTAATAACATGACAGCATTAAAAAAATTTCGTAAAGAGAAAGTCATCCCTAACTCCATTATCATAGGATGATTTCCATTTTTCTAAGTTATACTGGAATGTGCACCTATGTTCTCCACACTTCCATCATGTGGACATACGTATTAGTATGTGCTCTGTGCTTTTATTTTATTATTTTTTTAAGGGGGGTGGTGGGAGGGGCCGAAGGAGAGGGAGAGAGAGAATCTCAAGCAGGCTCCATACCCAGCGTTAAGCCTGATGGGGGGCTCGATCCCAGGAGCCTGAGATCATGACCTGAGCCGAATCGAGAGTCGGACGCTCAAGTGACTGAGCCGCCCAGGCGCCCCTCTGTGCTTTTCCACTTAACGTTTTCCATACACAACTTCACAAGCTGCTGTGATGTGTCCCTGGCTGTCATGGTAGGCAAGGCTCACAGTCCAAGGAGTGGCTGCCCCACAGTTGACATGACAACTAATGCGACATGTAGCCTGTGTTCACTTCTTCACGTTACAGACTTTGCAGAAAGCATCGTCGTGGCGTGTTGTTGAATTTGTGGCTTGAGATGAACTCTCATGAGTGGGATGACCACAAAAGCCCTGAACCAACGGAACATGCAGACACTGTCTTATCAGAATTCAGTGTTAGATGGGGCGCCTGGGTGGCTCAGTCAGCTAAGCGTCTGCCTTCGGCTCAGGTCATGATGCCAGGGTCCTGGGATCGAGCCCCACATCGGGCTCCCTGCTCAGCAGAGAGCCTGCTTCTCCCTTTCCCTCTGCCTGCTGCTCTGCCTACTTGCGCTCTCTATCTCTCTGTCAAATAAATAAATAAATAATATCTTAAAAAAAAAAAAAGAATTAAGTGTTAGACCATTTAACGTTTGTTGTTGTTGCTCTTTCTCCCCTAGTTTCGTAGGCGATCAGCAATGAGACAGTAGAGACCAGAGCGTGACAGGCAGGAGGGCTGGCTGCTCTCTATCAAGCAGCCAGTCAACTGTTCCCAAAATGTCTGCCGCTGAACGTATTAAATAATTCACTTGGTGGTTGAATTTGGATTCTTTTGTGTTCACGAGAGAACAGTAGGAAAGGACTCTGATGTAAAGCCAGGAGCAGGGATGCGGTGGAAAAGCAAGGTTGAACTTACTTAGCATATCTGTTCTTGGATGGTGACAGAAATGAGACCTGTAACCGGCCATTTATTTTGTTTCCACGACACCTAAATATCTTTTACGAGTTTTGCTTCTTGACTGTGCTAAAAAAAAATGACCAGCCCATCACTGGCAAGGATGTGTCTTCTGTCTCAGAGAGGACACGGGAGTCCGATCAATATTCACAGCTCTACTCAGACTACCTCATCAGGTGCCTGAATCTGACAGTAGTAACATTAAAACTATTTTGGTCCATTGTCAACACACACATTTGAAGAAATATTGTAGCATGTTTCAGGAGAAGGGACAGTATGCTGCCTGACCCCAAATCTGAGGCTGCATGACATTTATTTGTATTAGTAGCTGAAAACCTTTCAAGATAGAAAGAACCAGGCCCAGATGGTTTCACTGGAAAATTCTGCCAAATACTCAAGGAAGAAATAATACCAATTCTGCACATTCTCTTCCAGGAAATAGAAGAGGAGGCACACTTCCTCACTCATTCTGTGAAGCCAGCATCGCCCTAATACCAAAGCAGACAGAAACATGACGAGAAAGCTACCCACTTCCCACATGGACACAGACACAAAAATCCTTAACAAATATTAGCAAATTGAATCATGATCAAGTGGGGTCCATGTCAGGAATGCAACACAGGCTCAACATCCATCAGTGTTATTCATATGAACAGACTTAATAAGAAAAATCATATGATATTATCAATAGATGCAGAAAAAGCATTTACACACATACCTTGAAGATATTTGTGGGTTCGGTTCCAGACCACCACAATAAAGCCAACACAGCATATATAAGTCAAATGAATTTTTTGAGTTTCCAGTGCATAAAACTTACGTTTTCACTATACGGTAGTCTAATATGTCTGCAACAGCATATGTCTAAAAAAGCCCAACAAGGTACATTTGACTCTCACACAACACAAGCTTGAACCGTGTGGATCCACTTATGTGTGGGTTTTTTTTTGGATAAATAGAGTATGGTACTATATGTATATTTTCTCTTCCTTATGATTTTCTTAATAACATATTTTTCCCTGGGCGCCTGGGTGGCTCAGTCGGTTAAGCATCTGCCTTCGGCTCAGGTCATGATCCCGGGGTCGTGGGATTGAGTTCCGCATTGGGCTCCCTGGAAGCCTGCTTCTCCCTCTGCCTCTGCCTCTCTCTCTCTGCCTCTCATGAATAAATAAATTTTAAAAAATCTTAAAAAAAATTAAAAAACACATATTTTTCCTCTACCTTACTTTAAGAATACAGTATGTAATATACGAAGCATAAAAAATATTTATTAATCGATTGTTTACATTATCAGTAAAGCTTCTGCTCAACAGTAGGATATTAGCAAAGTTTCTGGGGAGTCAAAAGTTATACAGAGATTTTTCGACTGCCTGGGGGGGGGTTGGTGCCCCCAGCCTCTGTGCGACAAGGTCAACTGTACATTCCTTAATTAAAAAATATTTTCTTGCTAAAAAAATGCTAACCATCATTTAAGCTTTCAGCAAGGTGTAATCACTGATGACAGAGCACTATCACAAATACAATGTAATTATAAATAATAATTCTAAGAATTACCAAAACGTGACACAGAGACACAAAGTGAACATGTGCTGTTGGCAAAATGGAGGTGATAGACTTGCTTGATGCAGGATTGTCGCAGAAAAAATGTAGTATCCGTGAAGCTCAATACAGTGAAACACAAGTGAGGTAGGCCTCTTTACAAAATTCCACAACTATTCATGATAAAAACTCCCCCAAAGCTAGAAAAATAGAAGGGTATTTCTTTTACTTAATAAAAGATAACATACAAAAGCCAACAGCTGACCTCAAACTTAATGGTGAGGGACTGCACACTTTCCCACTAAGATCAGGAGAAAAGAACAAGGCAAGCATGTGTTCTCTCATCTTTCCCACTCAACACTGTACCAGAAGTTCTAGCTAATGCAATAAGGCAAGAAAAAGAAACAAAAGGCATACAGATTGGAAAGGCAGGACTAAACCTGTCTTTATTTGCAGAGGACATGATTGTCTATGTAAAGAACTCCAGGCTACCAAAAAACCCGTTGGAACTAATATGCAAGTCTAGCAAGATCTCAGTCAATAGTTTTCCCATTATATGCCATCAATGAGTAACAGACATGGGAAACCAAACCAAACCATTTAAATGGCATTAAATTTTAATAAAGGATATATATGCAGAAAACTTGTTTATAAAACACTATATGCAGAAAACTACAAAGCAATGATGGAAAAAATCAAGAAGCTCTAAATAAATGGAGAGTATTGTATGTTCATGGATAGGAAGACTGAGTATTGACAAAAATGTCAATTCTTCCCAATCTGATCTATGGATACAACACAATCCCAATCAAAGTCCCAGCAGGGTTTTTTTTTTTGGGGGGGGGGGTAGATATTGACAAACTGATCTAAAATTTATAAAGCAAAGGTAGTAGGACAACCAAAGAAATTCTAAAAAGAAGAATAAGGTTGGAAGACTTGATTTCATGATCAAGTTGTATGAATCAGGACAGTGTGGTATTGACCAAGTGACAGATGCTCAGATCATGTTATATCTATTTTACCACAATAAGAATAATTGAAAAAAAAAAAGATAAGGCTTCCTGCCCTTGGGAGCTCATGGTCTTGCGGGGGATGGAGATTAAATCCTATAATCAGATAAATTACAATGTAATGCTGCATGAGCTATATAGTACTATGAGTAAATTGTGCATTAAGAGCCCAAAAGGTAGGCATGGCTGTCTTGGATGCAGGGTCATGAAGGAGGTAAGATGTGGGCTCTGGAGGAGGCCGGCCTGCTTGACTCTTGCCTTTGCTAGTCACTAATGTGTGACCTTTTACGGAACTGCACCTGCCTCAGTGTCCCACCTACAGGAGCATCTGTCTCCACAGGATTCCTGAGAGCGCTCAATGAGTCAACCCATGGAAAACGACTGGGGGCGCCTGGGTGGCTCAGTTGGTTAAGTGTCCGACTCCTAATTTCAGCTCGGGTCATGATCTCAGGGTTGCAGGATTAAGTCCTGTGTCAGGCTCTGCGCTCAGCACGGAGTCTGCTTCTCTCTTTCTCCCTCTCCCTCTTCCCCTCCCCCTGCTTACGTGTGCTCGCTCTCTCTAAATAAATAAATAAAATCTTAAAAAACAACAAAAAAAGAAAATGCTTGGCGCATAGTCAACATGAAAAAATACTTTCCATACTATTAAACTCAAATCAACTCTAAGTAGCCTTCATAAAGTTTGTACTGCAGAACAGGCTCAGTTACGCCTAAGGAATCATTCTGATATTCTCTTAAACTCCAGAGTTGTAAAGACCTCCCCGTCCTGATCTCTGTGTGTAGTGACTGTTCGGGTGGCTTACCCCACAGGCAACACCCTCACAGACTGTATGATTCAGCACGAGGGTCTTCCCTTCACCAGGACAGAAACACCTCAACGCTCGGAGGACACACATTCTGGCTGTTCTTCCGGTAACGGCCATGATGGCACCTGTCCTCTTTAACCAGTTCCTTCTGTGAGGAGTTGCTCACACTTGTGATATGATGGGCTAAACCTCTCTGTCCCACTGTGGCTGAAAAGGAATGCATTCTAAAATTGGGAGAACATGTCAAGCTTTCATTTAAAAAATAATCTCATCCTTGCTAATATGCCACACCCAGAAACCTGTATTTGCTTGGAACTACAACTGTAAGTGAATTTTTTCCCCCTCACTAATTTTACAATAGACTTTGATCAAAGACCTGGGGTTATTACTGCTGCCAGTTCTGACTATATATTTTATAAGTATCATGTGTAATCAAGAACTATTTTTCAGTCCACATCAAGGTACGGCAAAGCAAATTTCATAATGCAGGAAGTTTCTGTTTTGTTGATGGCACAAGCTAGTTAAATTGCTCACAAACATCCCTAAATGCTTTTGAGATTAATTATTATGCTTGTCAGTATCTCCTCACAGACATCTGTAAATATGAAACTGCTGGCTCTGACAATTGGTTCAACAAGATGATCTCATTCCTAGCTTTCACGAAGTCCTGCCTTATGTCAGATAAACTTTAGGGAAAAAACGTTAAATTAAAAAAGAAGCAAATTTTAGCTGTAACACGACAAAGGAAAACATATTCTGTGTATACTATCGTCTAACAAGTTCTCATTTTTTTCTTGGATTCCTTACGTTAATTATCTGTTGTTACTTGTTAGCTGTTCAGTGTTTCAGAAGGGAAGATAAATCAGGTTCTTTTTACCCCATCTTGGCCAGACATGTGTGTCACCTCCTTTCTAAATTCTCTAGCCTCTTATTTATGTGACAGGGACATCTGTTTCTTAAAAAGTTTCATAGAATTTGGACTTACTGGGATTTTTTGCGTGCATGACTACATTTTTAAACAATGAAGTCGATTTCTTTAATGGGTAAGGTTCTATTTCGTTTTGAGTGAGTTTTGGAGAAATACTTACGTTTAGTATTTGAAGAAATATATTTACATTTCTTTAGAAAATTGCTCATTCTGTTTTAAACATATTGGTGTAACACTGTTCATAGTACCGACGTCTCTATGACAGCTGGACCTTTTTTGCTTTTTCATTTCTCAGATTCCCCACATCCCCTGAGGGTTACAGACCTGTGGCTCACTGTGCCTTCATTTGGATTTTCCCAATCACTCATGAGACTGAACGTCTTTTTAAATGTTTATGAGCCACTCATGGTTTGCCTATTCTAGCCTTTGATAATTTTCTACTAAGTTGTGTTTTTATTATTAGTAGAAATTATTTATAGATTATCTGTCTTCTCTTTATTTTTTATGCAGTTCTGTTATGATGTGTCTGGATAGGTATTGTGCGTGATTCATCTTGTTTGAGGTTCATTAAGAATCTATGGTCTTTCATCATTCTGGAAAAATTTCAGGCACCATTTCTTCAAATATTCTCTCTCCCATTCTTTCTTTCCTCTTCTTCTGGAATTCCCATTGGCCATGGGACTTAGAAATTGTCTGATTTTATCTTCCATTCGCTTAAGCTCTGCAACAGACACTATCAGTTGGTTAATCTAATAGTCATTCCGAACCTCTCTATCCCTTGTAGGCTTCCCACTAAAGAGAATGGAGAATATAAATTGCTTACTTTCTCAAATTCCCTTGCAGCTGGGGTGACCACGTAACAGAGTACTGCCAATGAACTGAGGGGCTCTGGGAAGCCTTTTGATTTCCTTATCAAAGGGGGAAGATAGGGGGCGCCTGGGTGGCTCAGTCGTTAGGTGTCTGCCTTCGGCTCAGGTCATGATCCCAGGGTCCTGGGATCGAGCCCCACATCAGGCTCCCTGCTCCACGGGGAAGCCTGCTTCTCCCTCTCCCACCCCCCCCGGCTTGTGTTCCCTCTCTCACTTTGTCTCTCTCTCTGAAAAAAAAAAGGGGGGGGAGATATGAGGCACTTGTTCCATCCTTTCCCCCTCCTTCCTGTCCAGCAGATGGGAGTGATGTCTGGAGCATGGCAGCCATGTTCAACCACAGAGGACATGAGGACAAAGAGCCAACAGATTAAAGATGGTGGAGTGTAGACAGGACACACTCTGGAGTCCTTGATTACAATACTGAACAGTGAACCAATCCTGAAACTACTTCTGGACTTCTCATTAAAAAAAAATAAAATTAACAGCTTTATGGTTTAAGCAACTGTTAGTTGGGTTTTCCATTTCTTGAATTTGTCTTTTTTTAAAAAAGATTTTATTTATGTATTTGAGAGAGAGTGAGAGAGAGCACACACATGTACCTGAGTGTATGTGGGGGTGTGTGTGGGGGGGTAAGGGCAGAGGGGGTCTCATGACCTGAGTCAAAATCAAGATTTAAACGCCCAACAGACTGAACCACCCAGGCATCCCCCCATTTCTTGAATCTCAATACATACTAATACAATTCCTCTATTATATTTTCCACTTTTTAAATGTCTGTTTCATGTTCTGGATAACGTCCTTAGTTCTGTTTTCCAGCTCAGTAGTTCTCTCTTCTGCTATCAGTTTTTCAATCCAAGGGGCTTTTTTAATTTCTAATTTTTATTTCTACTAGTTTCATTTGATTCTTTTTCCAAATCTTTTTTTTTAATAGTACCCTGGTCCTTATGATTTTTATTTCCTCTTTTACCTCTTTAATATGTTTAAACATAGTCTTTTGTAGTCTCTTTCTTATTATTTTATTATCCCACATTCTGGTAGCGGATCCTCTTTTTGCTCTATCTGCTGATTAGGTCAATTAGATAATTTTCTTGAGTGTTTTGTAATTTTGGATTGTGAATGTATTTTCAGTGGCCATTGTACCACTGAAGCTATGTGCCTCCCACAGTATAAACTAGGGGCTTCTTGCAGCACAGATATAAATTTGAACTCCAAACCTCATCTGGCCCAGTTTTCTTTTCTTGCAGATTTTCCTTTATTTGGACACACACACGCACACACACACACACACACACACACACACACACACACACACACACAATCCAAGGTGGAAACCAAGCTTCCATATCACTTCCCTTGACTGGCAGGTAGAGTTGTTTATTTTCCCCTTCACTAAGAAGAACATCATTTTGTGACCTTGGGTTTTGTGCAAGGGTCTCAGTACTAATGTTCTGTTTAAGGGAGCTCAGCACCTTGTCTCTTGTTCTTGTGTGGGCATTAAATAAAACCTATACCCATTAGGGAGCCTTTTACTATGAGCCCTCTGCCAGCACTCCCAGACCCACTTCTGAGGCTTGCCAGTCTTAGTTTATGCCTCATGGCTCTGGTTTTCACTTCCCTTTGGATTTCTGACATCTGGCCATTTCCCATTCTTTCTTCTGACCACATCTATGTGTTGGTATTTTTATAATTACATTTTATCCAGATTTCTAGGTGACTTGAACAACAGAGCTTTAATAATTCAGTCCAACGTGCTTCCAGATATGAAATTTATCCACAGTGAAATCTCTGAAAAAACTCTAAATCATATGTGGTTAGACTAACTGAATTAAAAAAAAATTTTTTTTTTTTTTTTTTGAAGTAGGCTCCACACCCAGTGCATAGCCCAATGTGGGGCTTGAACTCACAACCCTGAGAATTGAGACCTGAGCTGAGATCAAGAGTCAGATGCTGAACCGACTGAGCCACCCAGGTGCCCCAATAATATTTTCATATTCGGGATCACGAGTAACAGATCTTTAGCAAATGGATTTTAATGTTCTGTAAGAAATTGTTCAGTAGATGGCATAAAGTTCTTTCTCCTATAAGTAGAATAAGGTGTCACAAGGATATAAAATAGGATACTTACCAGGCTGGGTTTGATGCCTACACTTTCGGCTGCTTCAAATGCCAACAAGAGATTCCTTTTCTAGGTTAGAAGGACAGAGACTGGAATTATCAACTAAAAACACATAGCTTTTGAAAAAAATAAAAATAAATATAAAAATGTATAGTTTTTGCCAGGAAAGAACACTAAATGACACTCCGATATAGATGAGCTACTATTATAAAACACTTAAAATTTTAAGTCAAATATGCAAACAGCGTTTCAGTCCAAGGAAGAAAATGATTGACAGGTTAAATAATTAAAATGACATTACCGATTGATTCCTGACTATCAGAGATAAATATGTGTTCAGTTACTTTTTACTTTGCCACAATTTACGACCTGCACATTGTTGTGTGTCAAGAGTTGTTTTATCACGGTGCTATATATGCCATTTCCTCCTAGAATTCTAAAGGCACCATTCCACATTTAGCCCGAATTTGCAGCTTCTTCTTGAGACTCTTTCTGGCTCTTTGGATGTTTCCTCACCTGGATGAACTTAAGGATCACTTAATCCTGCCTCCTTCTCTCCACAGTTCCCTTGAGAGTCATTAGGATAACATCAAAATTTAATTAGATTGGTATATTAAGTTTAATCAAGAGAGTCATGTTCCTGTAAGTAGTATTCACGTTTTATGTTCCCCAGTAGAATTTCATGATTTTATGCATTTGGATTTTATGCATTTGGATTTGATACATAATTTTATCCCTTTTTCCATTTCCGCATAGCCTCCGCCCTCTGTCCTTGGGTGCACATCTGCTTCCTGGAGGTGGGTGGGCCCTGCCCTGAGACTGAAGCAAACTCTCTGCTCTAGGCACCAGGTCATGGAAAAAGAGAAAGACAAGGCTGTGCATGTTTCCTCCCAGGCTGTGGCCGAGGCCTGTGAAAGCTGTTGATCTGTGGTCATCTCGCCCAAGCCACCAACCCTCTTCCTCCAAATTAAGGGAAATTTATGGGCATGAACTAGAAACCTTATGCTTGTTTCCATACCACCGCTTTCTGTTCTGCTGAGACAGGAGCTCTAAGTTGGCTCCTGGTTTCCTTTAATTGGGCCCAAACTTGTGGCAGCTGTCTCCTATTTTGTGCTTATTTTAAAGTCCCTTTTGATTAGTTTTGAGGGGGAAGGGGGCTTGTAAGCCAGTTTTTCGGCTACCATTATTCCAGAAGTCATGGCATTTGATAGGCAATGCCAACTTGTTTTCTAAAATGCTACACCTGGGACACCTGGCTGGCTCAGTTGGTGGAGCATGGGACTCTTAATCTCAGGGTTGTGAGTTCGAGCCCCATACTGGGCATGGAGCCTACTTAAAAAAAAAAAAAAAAAAAAGGAAGGCTGCACCAATTTTCAATTCCAGCAATAGTGTGTAAGTGTCCATTTTCTCACACTTTTACCTGCATAGACTATTATGACCAAGCACTGTTATCTAATTCTTTCACTGCAACGGTGTCAGGCCCCCGCGAGGCCAGGGGGTGGGGGGTGGAGAAAGCTGCCACTTACAGGGAGCAGGGGGGAGTGTGCCCAGGGAGGAACCGAGAGGTTCCCAGAGCCCTTCCAGCCCCAGGATAGCGTCAGCCCCTGGTAGAGATCTTGGTGCTGGCCCCACTAACAGCGCATCTCACCTAAAACTGACAGCAGAAAGCATCCCACGTCCAGAAAATTTCTCCTCTCATGTTAAAATTTTGTTTCAGACACTGACACGAAAACACTCCGTTCTATCACATGAATCTGAGTAGCCTACGTGGAAGTTTCATGGGCTGACAGATAAATACGCTTTCTATTGAAAAAAATGCCCAAACCTTCCACTGACTGTAACTCACGTCTCTTTAATGTCTTCCAAGACGTCCTTGTTAGTTTTATCAGAAATTCCCTATTTAACACTGATGTCCAACCGACTTGGTTTCATTACATCCGTCTGGGCAGATGGAACAGCTCATGATTTCTGAACTTCCCGGGCTATCATTAATCTCACAGACCCGCAGTCTTCCACAATCTGACCTGGGTGCTCCCTGAAAACAGCATCCTAGATTAGGGGGAAGACATTCAACCCTACACGTAGAGACCACGGGCCCCTGTACCACAAGGACAACGGGAAGTGAGTAAACGGTGGCGTCTGGGTGTTGCATGTTTCCAAATGTGCAGCCAGTGACCAGGGCAGCTGGGCCGTGTGGTGTGTGGGAACCATGGCCACCCACGGCAAGACAACACACTTTCATAAGGAAGCAGTGCTCATGATTCAACGTGTGAAAGCAAACACTTTTAGGTTCGTTATTTTCCAACAGATCCAGAGTGATCTGAGGACGAAGAGCCTAGGTATGCTTTGCATAGGAGCAGACAAACATTTCACACCTTCAGGAAGATTCCTGTTTTAGATAGGGTGTGCGTAAGTGCAGAGACTTCTATTTACGACAGTTTTAGTGAGGTCCTCCGATGATTCTGAATTGTTTTATGCCCACTCTTGACTCAATTATCTTCATAATATCACATGGCAAAGACAGAGGCTGCAAAAAGCGAAGAGAAGGGACACGGAGGTCACTGCTGGAGGTGGGCTCTGCTGCGAGGGGCTTGATGCACAGGCTGCGGATACCCCACACGGCCCTAGCTTGTCTCTCCTCCTCTCTGGCTGCTCCACTCTGGTTCCCTTTGCTGGGTCATCCTCTCCCTAGACGACAAGCACTGGAGTCAAGGTTCCTTAGCCTTCTCTCCATGCCTCTGTGATATTGTGATTTATAGCAAGAAATATACATTTGGTCTTTGTCCACGGTTCCTGGCACAGGGCTCCTAAAACCCTTATCATTTCCCATATAAGAGCCACAGAGGCATCTTTTGTTACAATCTCTGGTTTTTGTCCTCAGTTCCAGAAATGGCTTCAGAACAACAAAGTTGAAATAGATGTCTCCTGTTACTCGTAACAAACCTCTTTCTTTCTTTTTTTAAAAAGATTGCAACATCTTTTTTTTTTTTTAAAGATTTTATTTACTTATTTGAGAGAGAGAGAAGGAGAGACAGCGAGAGTACAAGTGGGCTCGATCCCAGGACCCTGGGATCATGACCTGAGCCGAAGGCTGATGCTCAACCGACTGAGCCACCCAGGCGCCCCAACAAACCTCTTTCAACCGCACCCGAGTTCATGTTAAAGAGCTGATTTTTCAAAAAACCCCAGATAACCTAAGGATGGGGGCTGGCTGCTAGGGGAATCAGCCATGTGATTAGAAGGTTGGAACTTTCAGGCCCATATCCCCTGACCCCAACCTCGGGGAGGGGAGCCAGACTCGAGACTGAGTTCAATCACCGATAGCCAATGGTTTAATCAATCGTGCCTGTGTAAGGAAGCCTCCATTAAGCTCAAAAGGATGGGGTTCAGAAAAGGTGTGTTGGGAGGGTGGTGCACCCCAAGGTCCAAGGGGACAGAAGCTCTTGCGCTCAGGACCCTTTTGGACCTCACCCTAGGGGGCTCCTCATCCAGCTGGTCATTAGTGTCCTTCAATATCCTTTGTAATAAACTGGTAACCTAGTAAGTATGTGTTTTCCTGAGTTCTGTGAGCCACTCTAGCAAATTAATTGAACCTAAGGAAGGGGTCACAGGAACCCCTGGTTTAGTCAATCAGTCAGAAGCAAGGTGACAACTACATGGTCACTGGGGTCTGAAGTGGAGGGCACACTCTTGTGGGCCTGAGCCCTTAACCTGTGGGACCCGATGCTCGTTCCAGGCGGACAGTGTCAGAACTGAGTCACACTTGAGGATACCCAGCTGGTGTTGCAGAACTGCCCGGTATGGGCAAAACCCCCCATCTGTTTACAGAAGTATCAGAAATGAAACGCTGGGAGCAGACGTCTGGATACAGACGAGGTTTTCTTTGGAGCTTCCCTTAGGACCTAGGGCCAAGGTGATCTCCACTCTCATGGCTTTAAATACCATCTATACCCGCCCTGTTGGACACGGTAGCTACACCTGACACGTGGCTATTTAAATCAAAAGTAATTAAGATTAAAAATTCAATTTTCCAATCATTGAAAGCCACATTCATTAACGGCCCAATGGACTAGTGGCTACCATGTTGGATAGCGCAAATGTAGAACTTTTCCATCATTTCGATTCACTTAGGCAGCACTTACCTACTCCCTGATGACTCCCGAATCTGCCTTCCAGCTCTGATCTCCCCTCTGATTTCCACATTTATTATCCAACCACCTGCCTGAAACGGCACACTGCATACTTTAGGAACATCTCCCACTTAACGTGATTAAGAACAGAACAGCTTTTTTGGCTTTGTTTTCCAAATGTTTAATGCTCCCGTCCAGCCTGCTTCACGGACTACCAACAAAGGCGCCACACACAAATTTTAGGTCTTGAGATTTTTACACGCTCTGTGATGGTTAATTCTATGTATCGACACGGCTAGGTCATGGCACCAAATGTTTGGCCAAACATTATTCTAGATGTTTCTGTGAAGGTATTTTTAAGATGAGATTAACATTTAAATCGGTAGACTTTGGGTAAAGCACATCACCCACCATAGCATTAGGCCTTAACAGAAAAAGCCTGATCTCCCTCGAAGAAGAGGGAATTCTGCCAGCAAACTGCCTTCTGATCCAAACTGTGGCATTCAACTTTCTCACACACACACACACACACACACACACCCACACACACACCCCCTATTACTTCTGTTTCTCTGGAGAACCCTAACACTCCAGAAAATTAAATCACTCTGTTCAGTTATTATCACCACCAGTGCCATGACCATGCGCTGGGCTTTATAATCAAGACAGAACTTTCCGGCATTTCTATTCCTTCCCCACCTGGAAAATGACCTGTCAGGCTAGACACGCCTCTCCTCGTGTCTTCCCCCACAGCCAACCAGGTACTCAGTCCAGCGGGTTCTATATCTAAGACCTGTTCTGAATCTATCTCCAACTTTCTATCCAAGATGCTACCGCCCCCGCCACAGCTAAATGGCTGGAGTCAGGGGTGCTAAGCCCTCAACGTTGATGACTCCAAGAGCCTCCCATCCGGTAGCGCCTCACCCATTCTTGTTCCTTTTCCAGTTCTTCTTCTCACATAACAGCAAGAAAGATCTTTCAAAAACACGAGTCGTGCGTCTCCACCATTTAGAATCCTTCAGTGACTTCCCACCGAGGTTAGAGCAAGAGGCAGATTTCTTTCCAGAGCCCTCCGTGGAAGCCCTGCAGGGTCTGGCCCTGTCTGGACCCCAGAACCATCACAGGCCACTCTTCCCCGCTCCCTGCACTCCGGCCAGCGGGTCTTCCTCCATGTTCCCCGACCACACCCCGGTGTTTTCTTGGTCAGGCTGCTCCCTTGCTCTGGAAAGCTCCCCCCAGCTCTTTGTATTACTGGCTCCTGGTTTGTTCTGAAGAGTATCGCCTCTCAGAGAGGCCTTCTCAGCCTTCCTGATCTAAATTAGGAAACCTGTTCACTCCCACGGCATGAGGTTTCTCTCATAGCTCTTCGGCAATTTATTTATTTATAACATTACCTGTTACAGGCTTACTCGCTTGTGGACCTGTCTCTCTACTTCAGAGGGCAAAGAACAGGTCTACTTTGTTCACTGTTGTCTTTATTACTATGCACGATGCTTGGCAAGAAATACTTGTGGAGAGAATGAGCGCAGGGCCCAGAACAGCATTTTCCAAAGTACGCTCTGTGGATACGATTTTGTAGGATGTTCTAGGTCAGGGTTTGGCAAACTATAGCCCGCAGACCAAATCAGGCCCACAGCCTCTTTGCGTAAATAAAGTTTTATTGGAACACAGCATGCCCATCCGTCTCGTCTCGGGCCACTTGGGCACTACCATGGTAGATGAGGAGCTGTGACAGAGACCCGTGGACCCACAAAGTCCACTATTTGGCCCTTAACAGGAAACTCTGCGAACTCTTGTTGTAGGTAATTGTATTAAAAAATTCTGTGGATCTGATATATGTAGGGTTAAACAGAGTCACACAGGTTTCTCTCATGTTCCTGAAGTCTTTACTGTGCTAATGAGCACTGTGAATCTCTAAGAGTGTGACATAATATACCGTTTCCCAAGCTTATCCGAGCAGCGAGATCCTTTCGTTGGTGCTTCTGGTCCTGAAAACGCTGGCCAAGGTCTTAAAGCCACGGAGGTGAAATTTCATCAAGGCTTTCTCTCAAAAAATGGGTGACGGTCACAGTAAACTGGTCTTCCCTCCATTTTTCCAGGCCACGAGGCAACTGAGAAGTATTTCCCGAGGGTGGGATCCTACGGCCTTGTCATACACTCAGTTATGTCTGCCTGGTACCAATACCCTAATTTCCTGGTCTATAAACACCACCCCAGCAGGATGGACGATATTATAGGAATTCCCCTTGCATGTTCTAGAGGATAACCAGGGGTGACTGGGCAGGTGACTTACCTTCTCCTGACTGTTCAGCTCCTGATATGGGATGTGGGCAGGCAGGTAGGTATGAAGGAGAGCACAGAAGGCCAAGCCGTCACTCCAGCTGCTGCTGAAATTGGTGATATCAATGTTCTGTAGGGGTGGGAAAAGCAGCATTAATCTCCGAACTGTGCAAGGACAGAGAATATGAATGAGACTATGGGAAGATGGGTATCCACCTCTGGGTTTGCAGGAAGGCCGGAGGAGAAACCACCCAAGACTGCCGGGTGTCCATTTAATTTTGGTACCAGCAATGGCCCGGTGTCACCCAAATCCACTCACAGAATCGCATGAAAAAAAGCCGTAAGGGCTCCCAACCCTGGGGAATTTCTGCCTACCCGGTGGTACATGAAAAGCTTCGAGACATCTTATTCTCGAATCCACCCACTCAATTAGGTTTCTTTTTTTAAAGATTTTTTTATTTGAGAGCGAGAGAATGAGAGAGAGAGCCCATGAGAGGGGGAAGGGTCAGAGGGAGAAGCAGACTCCCTGCTGAGCAGGGAGCCCGATGCGGGACTCGACCTCAGGACCCTAAGGTCATGACCGGAGCCAAAGGCCGATGCTTAGCCGACTGAGCCACCCAGGCACCCTCAATTAGCTTTCTATATCCCAGCATTTCCCAGATTTATCTGGTCAAGGAGGAACCCTCATCATGATCGTCATGATGTATGACGCCAATTAACAACCTTAACAACAGGTAGACCAAGACAAACCAAGATCTTAAAAACCTAGATGGCTGGTCTCACGGCTTACTCCTGCTAATACCCTCTACACCCCACAACTTGAAGGGCTTCTCAGGGAGAGCAAACCCTTCATACTCAACAGTACCCTCGCTGGCACATCAAATACCCAAGGATTATGAGGTTTCCCGAGGGAAAAGGAGCTTCTGCTCTGGAATTGGTGGGAACCCCAGTAGATGCTTGGTAAACCGTGATGAGGAAAACAGAATCTTTAGAGGAAGGCAGCTCGTGGAGACAATGAAGTGGGCAGAGGTGAGCGGACGGTGAAGAGGCGGCTCTTTCTGAAGGTGTGGACGCCGACTGCTTCCTCTCCCTCTGCCCAAACCAAACGCCAGTCTGCAGCAGCTTGACTCGGCCCTGGGAAGTGATTTAGGGTGTCTCCACCAGAAGTGGCAGCACTTGAGTAGGGGTGGAAGGGTGAAGAGAACATGGCATGAAGGTAAACTGCAATAGGGAGAGGGAGACTTTGTGGAGTTCTTCCTCACATGTGTATAAAGAAGTTCTGAAGAACACAGGGAGGTGGAAATGTGTAATAAAACATGGTATCAGAGTTTCCCATGCGGTTTCCTGAGGGGTTTGGAAGCAAACGGCCCATAATCTCATTTGAGCGTTTTTGTTTTTGTTTTTCTTTTTCAAGATTTTATCTATTTGACAGAGAGAGAGACACACACAGTGAGAGAGGGAACACAAGCAGGAGGAGTGGGAGAGGGAGAAGCAGGCTTCCCGCGGAGCAGGGAGCCCGATGTGGGGCTCGCTCCCAGGACCCTGGGATCATGACCCGAGCCGAAGGCAGACGCTTAACGACTGAGCCACCCAGGAGCCCCTCATTTGAGCACTTTATCTAGATTTTCCCTGTGTTCCTCTGAGCTAGCTTGGCCTCTAGCGACGAGGTAGGTCAAATGGCTTGTTTTATAGGAAAGATGAGGAGGTGGTGTCCACACGTCACACACGGTGTACCTGGATGACGGACACTCTGGCAGGCCAAGTCCCCACCCTGTGGCCCTTTCTAGCAAACCTCTTCTGGCTTCTAGCCAGAGTCCAGGGTGACCCAGGTGGACCCTAGAACGTCCCCCCCAAATCGCTGCCTTTCAGGAATGTCGGGTTCTCCAGCCTGTTTTGCAATTACGTCTACCTGGGGGAAGGATCTCTGGCTGAGGGCAACACACAACCGTAATAATGCCTTTTCGTTCTGGTTTTCATGACTCAAGCACAACCAGATTTTAAGAGCTGCTAAGCATCTCCGTGTTACATAAAAGTCTGAGAATGCCCCATCTCCGTTTTCGGGCTGAATGTGCACGAGCCAGGCCTCCTGGTAAGCTGATCATTTGCATTCTTGGCTTCAAAAAGTCTCCTTGGAGACTCTGGAGCTACCTGATGGGGCCTGCATGCTGCTTCAGAAATGGGAAACACTGTAATTTTATATTTTCTCAAGAGGTCTGCATGTTAAAAAAGAAGAGGAAAGACACAGGTGGGGGCCATGCCCTGTCCGGTTCACTGGAAGTCTCAGGCACTAGAACCAGATGCTCATCAGCTCATCGGGCCCCGGGAAGTGGGCACAAGGAGGGAGCTGGGCCAGCCTTCGGAAAACCAGCCCTTGTCGACACGGAGTCCCCTTTCTTTGGCATGTAGAGGTCATCTGAGACCCCGTCTCCCGACCCATCTCTCACGGTACCTGTGACGTGGCAGAAGGAAAGCCGGACTTTCTTTCCAGGGACTGCTTGCTGATGGCTTATTGTTCATGCTCAGCACTAGGGCATCTGTGAAAATGGGACAAGCACGCGCCACACCTGGCAGTGTTCGCTCCGAAAGGCAACGTCGATGTACAGCTCATTTCATCCTCAAAGGAAACTGAGGCCGGAAGCAGTGGTGTTTCCGTCAGAAAGGCCACATTTTAAATAGAAAGCCAAACATTCAATGAATGACCAGGATGTAAGTCCCTGAAATATGAGTGCCGGGACGTATCAAGCTCCAAAAATGGGGGCAGTGAGGGCGGTAAAATTCGTTGAGTGTCTACAATGTGCCTGGTGCTGGGCAGTTCCTTATTTAATTCTCAGAATGACAATACATCGTAAGTAGCACTGTACCCATTTCACAGATGAGGAAGCCAAAGCAGGAAGAAATATCACTGGGGCCAGAGTCAGGGGCAAATTGCAGTTCTGCCCGACAGCAAAGCACATCATGTTTGCTGTCCTTCCTTCCTTTTCTTTTTTCTTTCTTTTCTTTCTTCCTCCTCCTCTGCCTTCCTTCACAAATTTACTTCAGGCCTAAAGTTTTTAAGTTTTGAGAAATCTTTCATTTCCTAAAACGTGAGAACATTTTACTCACTTATCTCCTGTACCATTTTTTTTTTAATGATACAAAATGTCATTTTCCTTCATCTGCATGATCTTCAGAAGCATTCTGAGAGGCCAGACAGACCCAAAGGGGTGACGAGGTCATCTGTCTCACAAAACCAAGAAAGTGCCCAGTATTTCAGCTGAGTGTCACCTAGGTGTTTTGGAGTTTAAAGATTTTATTTATTTGAGAGATTGAGAGTGAGAGAGCACAGAGGGAGAGGAAGAGGGAGAAGCAGACTCGCCGCTGAGCAGAGATCCCGATGTGGGGCTCGATCCCAGGAAACTGAACTCATGACCTGAGCTGAAGGCTTAACTGAAGCTTAACTGACCGAGCCACCCAGGCGTCCGCACAGGAGCAGCTTCTGATCTATAAGTATAAACGAGCAACAGGTTGAGACTACAAAATCTGGTTGAAAAAAATCAGTCTAAACGACTCACAACGTCAGGAGAGTTCAGACAGCCCGGATGCTTCTAGACAGATGGCAGCTCGCGGGCCTTTCCAGAAACGTGAAGCACACTGTAAAGCAGACCCTGGCACTTCAGCAGCAAGACCACACCAACACTACACAAGAAACAGGAACAGTGCCCTATCTTAAAAAAAAAAAAAAGAATTATGGAAATTCCAAATCTAGGCAGGTTATCAAATCTAACATCCAGGTCAGGAAATGCTTCTCTTTCATGTAACCCACAGCCACCATGTTTAAGACTTGGAGTTCTTTTTTTTAAAGATTTTTTATTTATTTATTTGAGAGAGAGAGAGAATGAGAGCTAGAGAGCCCGAGAGGGAAGAGGGTCAGAGGGAGAAGCAGACTCCCTGCCGAGCAGGGAGCCCGATGTGGGACTCGATCCTGGGACTCGATCCCAGGACTCCAGGATCATGACCTGAGCCGAAGGCAGTCGCTTAACCAACTGAGCCACCCAGGCGCCCCAAGACTTGGAGTTCTTCTGACACTGGAAGAGATGGATGACAACCAGCTGTGATCTGCAGCATTATACTCATTCCAAGAAGAGGTGGCTATCAAGTAAAAACTTTACCCTTCTTAAGATAAAGTGGAACAGCTCAGTTCTAGTTCCCTGAATGTCATTTGAAATCCCAATTCCATTGGAATGACAAGAGTATTAACAATTCCCAAGTCAACACAGCTGGTTGAACAACTGAAAACGTGCGTACATTTATGATACCTCATGTAAGAGGATGCAAAGGACTCTACACATCTCAATGGTGGCTTTGTTGCGGTGGTTATTACAAAAGCAGTTCCCTTCTGCTCACTGAGGTATCTTTTTGTGAGCTGTACGATATATCTTCGTGCATGAGGAGTTAGCTGATGCGGGGTGCCACACTTTTGAGGCAGGGTGTGTGGGTCCCAGCGAAATGGGCTAAGACACAATATGGTTGCAGCCACCTGCGAGGGAGGACGAGGTAGCCACGGCAGAAAGGGGCTCGTGTGGACTGGACCAGTGCACTGGGTAACAGGCAGAAAGACAACAGTTTCTTGGGCATGGCTAGCTGGTCACTCCTGGGAATCCCAGGAACCAAGCGAGGACTAATTCCAGGTCCTACCCCTAAAATGTGGGTGAAAACTTTTATTTTTGGTTAGGGATGATCGGGATTGGCTTGGCCTTCGATGGGGGGAAGTGGCTCTTGCTGAGCTTGTGGGTTATAGTCCTCAATGCTCACAGATGAACCTCTAACTTAGGACAAAAACGGAGGCTAATAATACAAACACCCCCACGGGGTGTTAGTTAGTATCTTTTTCTCCCAATTATCATTCAGCTGAATTCTTAGGGGTTCATCAAAAGAATAAGAGGAAAAACAGAAAATGATCAACAAGGCATTCTACAAGGCATATCATCAGTTATTTTCCTTGTTATTTATTCCTGAATAAAATCGAGTAGGATAATTGTTACCTTTAACTGGAAGTTAGTAATGGGCCAGGAGCAGACAGAGGATTCTGGGGGTGCTAGCAATGCTGTGTTTCTAGACCTGGATGCTAACTGCACGGGTACCTTCGTGTTG